GGTGGTGAATGGGGATGAGAATTATACAAATTTATTTACTGCTCCCTTTGTGGTTAAATTGATTTAACAGATAAAGCGCACTTGAACTCATGTAAATATAAATATTTTTCAACTAACTTTGCAAAAATCAGTTCTTTACGTTATAAAATTTGTAGAAAAAAAGGGGAATAATGGTAAATGTTTTCTGAACATTTATACTAATTCATTTACTGCTCCCTTTGTGTTTAAATTGACTTAACAGATAAAGCGCACTTGAACTCTGCCAAATATTAATATTTTTTTAATAAATTTGCAAAAATCAGTTCTTTAGGTTAAAAAATTTGTGGAAAGAAGGGGAATGATGGAAAATGTTTTCTGAACATTTATACTAATTTATTTACAGCTCCCTTTGTGTTAAAATTGATTTAACAGATAAAGCGCACTAGAACTCGGCGATATATTACTATTTTTCAACTAACTTTGCAAAAATCAGTTCTTTACGTTATAAAATTTTTGGAAAAAAAGGGGAATAATGGAAAATGTTTTCTGAACATTTATACTAATTCATTTACTGCTCCCTTTGTGTTTAAATTGATTTAATAGATAAAGCGCACTTGAACTCTGCCAAATATTAATATTTTTTAACTAACTTTGCAAAAATCAGTTCTTTAGGTTAAAAAATTTGGTGAAAAAAAGGGAAAGGTTAAAAAATGTTTTCTGAACATTTATACTAATTTATTTACAGCTCCCTTTGTGTTCAAATTGATTTAACAGATAAAGCGCACTTGAACTCGGCAAATATTAATATTTTTCAACCAAATTTGCAGAAATCATTTCTGTCAGTTAAAAAATTAGTGGAAAAATGGGAAAAGTGTAAAATATTTTCAGAATGTATCACTATTTCATTTTCAGTTCCCTTTGTGTTCAAGTTGATTTAACAGATAAAGCGCACTTGAACTCTGCCAAATATTAATATTTTTCAACTAAATTTGCAAAAATCAGTTCTTTAGGTTAAAAAATTTGGTGAAAAAAAGGGAAAGGTTAAAAAATGTTTTCTGAACATTTATACTAATTTATTTACAGCTCCCTTTGTGTTCAAATTGATTTAACAGATAAAGCGCACTTGAACTCGGCAAATATTAATATTTTTCAACCAAATTTGCAGAAATCATTTCTGTCAGTTAAAAAATTAGTGGAAAAATGGGAAAAGTGTAAAATATTTTCAGAATGTATCACTATTTCATTTTCAGTTCCCTTTGTGTTCAAGTTGATTTAACAGATAAAGCGCACTTGAACTCTGCCAAATATTAATATTTTTCAACTAACTTTGCAAAAATCAGTTCTTTAGGTTAAAAAATTTGGTGAAAAAAAGGGAAAGGTTAAAAAATGTTTTCTGAACATTTATACTAATTTATTTACAGCTCCCTTTGTGTTCAAATTGATTTAACAGATAAAGCGCACTTGAACTCGGCAAATATTAATATTTTTCAACCAAATTTGCAGAAATCATTTCTGTCAGTTAAAAAATTAGTGGAAAAATGGGAAAAGTGTAAAATATTTTCAGAATGTATCACTTTTTTATTTTCAGTTCCCTTTGTGTTCAAGTTGATTTAACAGATAAAGCGCACTTGAACTCGGCCAAATATTAATATTTTTCAACTAACTTTGCAAAAATCAGTTCTTTAGGTTAAAAAAGTTGTGGAAAAAAAGGGGAATAATGAAAAATTTTTTCTGAACATTTATACAAATTTATTTGCTGCTCCCTTTGTGTTTAAATTGATTTAACAGATAAAGCGCATTGAACTCAGCCAAATATAAATATTTTTTAAACTAAATTTGCAAAAATCAGTTCTTTACGTTATAAAATTTGTGGAAAAAAGGGGAATAATGGTAAATGTTTTCTGAACATTTATACTAATTCATTTACAGCTCCCTTTGTGCTTAAATTGATTTAACAGATAAAGCGCACTTGAACTCTGTCAAATATTAATATTTTTTAACTAACTTTGCAAAAATCAGTTATTTAGGTTAAAAGATTTGTGGAAAAAAGGGGAATGTTGAAAAATGTTTTCTGAACATTTATACAATTTATTTATTGCTCCCTTTGTGGTTAAATTGATTTAACATATAAAGCTCACTTCAACTGGGCTAAATATAAATATTTTTTAACCAACTTTGAAATAAGAAAAAATTCAGGATTAAATTGAAGTTAAAGGTAAATTTACTGATGAAGCTCATTTCCCTTATTTCTCTACTAATTGAGAATATAACAAAACTTTTTTATTTTTGTATCTTTTAATCGATTCAAATAATGCCTTTAATTTGCATTATTTGGTTTCAGAGCATTTGAACCTTCGTGACGTCACAAATCATAGCGCATAACACGCAAACTTCTCAGGTATGTGAAATGCACAATTTTGAATATTTTTTTTAAAAAACCTTTTGGAAAATGTTCAGAATAACATAGACTCTGTCTGTTATGTGCGGAAAATTCAAAATTTTGCGCTTAGAACGTTTTTTAAACAATGTTTAAGTTGGTTGTCACAAGTAAGGAAAAATACACGAATTGCTTATATGTAGGGCATTTTTGGAAAGACCAGGATAAATGAATTTTATTATAAATAATAATTAAAATTGTTTATTACTAATTAAACAATAAATTGGTGTTGTTTATTTACGTTTTTCAAAAAGCACATATAAGTAAGCATTTTTTTGACAGCTTTCTAAATTATTCATCTCAATTTTGTAAAAAATAAAGGCCAAAAAACCAATTTAATTTTCAATTTTTCAACTAAATAATTATTGTTTTTTATTTAAAAAATTGAAAAATGTTTGAATTTTCAACCTTTTTTACAACATTGAGATGAGTAATTTAAAAAATTCTCAAAAAATTGCTTTTTTATATGTGCTTTTTGAAAAAAGTACATAAAAAAACAAAAAAAATTTATTTAAAAAATTGAAAATAATTGGATTTTTAACTTTTTGTACATCATTGAGATGAGTAATTTTAAAAATTCTAAAAAACATGCTATTTTATATGTTCTCCTTTGAAAAAAAGATGAAACACAATAATTAATTATTTGAAAAATTGAAATACAATTTGAAATTTAATCTCTTTTTTATACAATATTGAGAACAGCAATTTAAAGAATTGTCAAACAATTGCTTTTTTATATGTACTTTTTGAAAAAATTATATGAAAAACAATAATTATTTATTTAAAAAATTGAAGAATAATCTGCTTTTTAGTTATTATTTTTAACAACATTGAGATAAGTAATTTGAAAAATTCTCCAAAAACTGCTTTTTTAAAAGTGCTTTTGGAATATTAAATTTATATGTGTTTTTTTAATAAAAAAGAATAATTATTGATTTAAAAAATTGAAAACTAATTCAATTTTTTAACATTACGTTTCACAATTTTTAAATTGGTAAATTTTAGAATTAGAAAAAAACTGTTTTTTTAGAGAGTTCTTGAAAAAAACATAAGAAATATTAAATAATTATTTATATAAAAAATTAAAGAATAATTCAATTTTTAAACAAATATTTTTCATAACTTTGAAATTTGCAAATAGCAAAATTAAGAAAAAACTGCATTTTTGTATGTTTTTTTCAAAAAAAAGTAAATAAACAACAACAATTTATTGTTTAATTAGTAATAAACAATTTTAATTATTATTTATAATAAAATTAATTTATACTGGTCTTTCCAAAAATGGCCTACATATAAGCGATTCGTGTATTTTTCCTTACTTGTGACAACCCACTTAGACATCCCAATGGGAAAAATACCATTGGCGTATTAATGGCCCAATAATGGGAGCCAGGGATGCCAATATAATTCCAATAATGGCACACAATAATGGACCATTATTGGTAAAGTCATGGGCTGTCCACGCCGATGCCAATGATTGGCAACCATCATTGGCAAATTATTGGCAACCAATAATTAGCCAATATTAAAAATTTTAATAATAATTTAAAAAATTGTGGGTATCGTGTGGATAATTAAATAAAAGTAGTCTTTTTATATTAACATTAATAAAATAATTTATTTAATAATGAGTATCAAATTCGAGGCTCTGTACAATCTGGTTTTCGGAAGAGGTACGTACCACTTGAAAACCCAAGCCGAACTATCCGTACTCAACCCGGATATGATCAATGTCCCCTGAAGGGTACAGGCAAAAATCTCTTAAACATTAGTGGTGGGGGGCTAGTCGATGTTTTTATAAAATATAAAATATTTTCCTAAAATGAGTAAAACTTATACCTAATTCGTAAATTGCCGCCCGGGCGATAATCCGCTCGGAAAAGCAATTTAGATATCGTTGGGTCTGTAATAAAAACTCGTAGACCCAAACGTGCAAAAACATCTGCCCTAGCAATAAAAGAGAAACTTTTTGTCGCATAGCAAATAGTGAATTTTTATTTGAAAATGTAACCCTAAAAAATATATTACTTAGGTAAAACATTTTAGTACGCCACAGTACCCCCTCACCAGTGATAGCGATATACCTTTATTGAGAAATATAATAAAATAAGTTAATTATAAAAATTAATTTATAGTTCATGTTATTGTCATTACAATTTGAAAAATACAAGCACGTATACATACAAGGTCAACTATATATATATATATATTTAAAAAAAAAAAAATGAGATAAGTACAGTACATTTTACGTTCTCATCATACGCTTTTCATCATACCTCATACACGATACATAATACGTCATGCATTATACATAATATGTCATACATTATATGTCGTAGATTATAAACGTCGTGTTAGTCGAGTAATGTTAACCTTTAATTGAAACCTGCTTGAAAACGATTAGGAAATCTTACAGTTCTTTTTGAACGAGAAGAAAATTCTTGATTTGGGACAGACTTGTTATTTGAAATAGGGATTTCCTTACTTGTAATATTTTGATCATCGTCTATTACCATAAAAGCGGGTTTTAACCGATCAATGGACACTGTAACATTTTTATCATTTATACAAATTACAAATGTTTTATCTCCACGTTTCACAACTTTATACGGTCCGTCATAAGGTGGATGCAAAATAGCTTTTACTGCATCGTGTCGCAAGAAAACATAAGAAGAATTTGATAATTCTTTAAAAACAAAAATCTTTTGTTTCCCATGTCGTGGAACGGGATTCGGTCGAATGTTATTGATATGCTTTCTTAATTGTTCACCAAATTCAGAATTTGCTTCTCGTTTTGACGACAAGAAAAACTCAGCAGGGAGTCGGATGTTCGTACCGTAAATCATTTCTGCCGTAGTTGCTTTTAAATCGTCTTTAATAGCAGTGCGTATACCTAATAATACAATGGGTAACATAGATACCCAATTATCTGTTTCGTGACATCGTATAGCTGTTTTCAATTGTCTGTGTAATCTCTCCACCATACCATTTGATTGCGGGTGGTAGGACGTAGTGCGTAAATGTTGAGATCCTATTAATTTGCATAATTCTTTAAATAATTCGGACTCAAATTGTCTACCTTGATCGGATGTTATTCTTAAAGGGACACCGAACCGAGAAATCCAGGTAGAGAGGAATGCCTCGGCCACTGTATGGGCCTCCATATCGGCTAAAGGGATCGCTTCCGGCCAGCGAGAAAAACGGTCCACGCAAGTTAAACAATATTTAAATCCTTTGCAAATTGGCATTGTTATTAAATCAATATGCACGTGTTCAAATCTCCCGGCTAAAATATTAAATTGATTAACCGGCGCAGAAACGTGTCTCGTTACTTTATTTTTTTGACACACAATACATTGTCGTGCCCAATTTCTCGTATCTTTATTAATCGACGGCCAAACAAAACGCTTACTAATTAAATTTTGCGTGGCCCTTATACCTGGATGAGAGAGACCATGCAGAGAATTGAAAACAGCGTTACGCAAGGATTTCGGGACATACGGTCTTACAACATCGTTTGAAACATCGCAAAAAAGAAATACATTTTGTTCCGGAAAATTAATTTTTTTAAGTTTCAATGAAGTTATTTTTGACAAAATTTCTTTTAATTCTGAATCACATTTCTGTTCTGACTCCAATGACTTATGGTCGATACTGTTTGAAATCGTTTCAATTCGAGATAACGCATCGGCAACACTATTTTCTGACCCTTTTATATGTCTTATATCCGTCGTGAATTGACCAATATAATCTAAGTGACGAAACTGTCGCGGAGAACATTTTTCCAACTTTTGTTGAAACGCGTACACAAGTGGTTTATGATCCGTAAAAATAATAAATGGCCTCCCTTCTACTTGATGCTGAAATCGTTTAACGCCAGAATACATACCGAGCAATTCGCGATCGTACGCGCTATATTTTTGTTGGGCAGAAGATAAGGTTTTCGTATAAAAAGCAAGTGGTTGCCATGCGTCATCTACTAATTGTTGTAACACCGCTCCCATTGCATAATCGGATGCGTCGACGACAATACTTAATGTAGCCCCGGGTACCGGGTGCGCGAGTAAAGCGGCATTCGCGAGAGCATTTTTCGAAGCATTAAAAGCAATCTCTGCTTCACTGTTCCATGGTACCGGATTTTTACCTGCCTTTTGACCTTTTAACAAATTATTGAGAGATTGTAATATTTTCGCAGCTTGAGGAATGAATCGTCGATAAAAATTAAACATTCCTAAATAACATCTTAGTTTTTTTATTGTCGCTGGTTTCGGAAAATTCATTATTACTTCAACTCTCTCTTTTAAAGGTTCAATGCCGCGAGAATTTACAGTGTACCCGAGAAATGTAATTTCCGACACGCCAAAAACACACTTTGTCGGATTAATTACTACGCCATAATCATTTAAACGTTTAAACAAAATATTTAAATGCTCTAAATGCTGTTCTTCGGATTCTGAAGCAATTAAAAAATCATCAATAAATGCATAAACAAAATCTAATCCGCGTGTGATTTCGTCGACAAATCTTTGACAAGTTTGTGCAGCATTTCTTAAACCGAACATCATATTTACGGCCTCATACAACCCGAAAGGAGTTATTATCGCCGTTTTTTCTACGTCTTCCGGCGCGACCGGAATTTGGTGATACGCTCTCACCAAATCCAATTTTGAAAAAATTTTCTTACCATGCAATTGCTGCGCAAAGTCCTCTATGTGAGGAGGGGTATACCTGTCGGGGATCGTGCGAGCGTTAACAGCACGATAATCTCCACATGGTCGTATCCCTCCGTCCTTTTTTGGCACCATGTGTAAAGGTGAGCACCATGAAGCTTTTGATGCTCGTAGTACTTCTTGCTGGACCAATAAATCAAACTCCTTTTTTGCCACCTTATAATTGTCAGGAGCAAGACGTCGAGGCCTGCAATGCACGGGAGGTCCTGGTGTTGTTTTTATGTGGTGCACAACATTATGTTTCAGAAATTTTCTGTTAAACACGGGTGGGCGAGTGAGGTCTGGGTATTTACTCAACAGCTGATGAAAGACACTATTCCCCACTATTGTTTTTACAGAAAACACTTCTTTGCGCGCCGAACATCCCGCGGTAGATAAACCGGTTATTGAGTCAATCAATTTTTGGTTTTGTGGATCAATCAGTAAACCGTAATAAGATAAAAAGTTCATTCCAATAATAGGTTTACTGACATCTGCTACCACAAAACTCCACTTAAAACTTCTTCGCAATGACAAATCCAGATCCAGAGCGACCGTACCGTATGTTGCGATAGGTGTACCGTTAGCCGCGAAAAGTTCATATTCACATTTTTTTACCGATCCTTTAACTTTTTGTCGTGGATAAACACATAAATCGGCCCCTGTGTCTATTAAAAATAGATCTGAACTATTGCGATCAGAAATAAAGATGCGGCGTGACAAAAAACCGCCTCCGGATGCCGCGTTTATTGACGGTTCTATTCGTTTCCCGATTTCCATGCACATGGATCTCGACACTTTGTTGCTTTTTCCTTGTAACGGAAATGATACCAACAATATCGTCCGCCTTCTTTAAATTTGCTTTTACGGCTCGGAGTAGCCCTACGCGCGCGGCTTTTGCTGCGGTTACGCTCGCGATTTTCGTTACGTGCACGACCAACAGATAAGGCTGATATTTCTTCACGTAATTTTTTTATCTCCTCTTTCCAATTCACAAGATCGTTGTCTTTGTTAATTTCCGCGATCCGTCCTGCATTCCGCGGAATTTCGTGAACGCGGTCCGCGGTGTCAACCAATGCATTGATGTCTGCGATATTTGACGCGGCCAAAACTCTTTGTGTGTCGGAAGGTAAACGATTTTTCCATAATGTTAAAATGAACTCTTCAGGAACCGACGAAGTGGCTAGTTTTTTCAAGTCGCGGAAAAATTGTGATGGTTTACGATCACCAATTTCTTCACTTTCTAAAAGCTGTCGCACTCGCGAAGAATCAGAGTCTGTTAGTCTTTTTGTCAGTTGTAATTTTAAATATTCGTACTTATTTTCATCAGGCGGTGACATTATAACGTCTTCCACCTGTTCAATATATTTTTCGCCGATATTTGCGATTGTAATATTAAATTTCGTTTCATCTTTACTTATTCGCGAAGTAGTGAATTGCGCCTCTAAAAGTCGGAACCATAAACCAATTTTATTAGGCAAAAATTGCGGAACACGTAAACTATTTAAACCACCAGCACTCACAACACTTATGTTCTCGTCATTATTATCACTCGCGTGAGAATCATTGTCGGCCGTTCCCGTCATATTTAAAAATGTTAAATTTTGTACCGAAAATTTTAAATTATCACTCACACGTTATTCAACCACTTTTTACACGGGTCACCAATTTGTGGGTATCGTGTGGATAATTAAATAAAAGTAGTCTTTTTATATTAACATTAATAAAATAATTTATTTAATAATGAGTATCAAATTCGAGGCTCTGTACAATCTGGTTTTCGGAAGAGGTACGTACCACTTGAAAACCCAAGCCGAACTATCCGTACTCAACCCGGATATGATCAATGTCCCCTGAAGGGTACAGGCAAAAATCTCTTAAACATTAGTGGTGGGGGGCTAGTCGATGTTTTTATAAAATATACAATATTTTTCTAAAATGAGTAAAACTTATACCTAATTCGTAAATTGCCGCCCGGGCGATAATCCGCTCGGAAAAGCAATTTAGATATCGTTGGGTCTGTAATAAAAACTCGTAGACCCAAACGTGCAAAAACATCTGCCCTAGCAATAAAAGAGAAACTTTTTGTCGCATAGCAAATAGTGAATTTTTATTTGAAAATGTAACCCTAAAAAATATATTACTTAGGTAAAACATTTTAGTACGCCACAAAATCAATAATTTAAAAAAAAATTTATATTTTTATTATTTTTTAATAGTTATTATTATTATTATTTTATTTTTAATAATTAAATTAAAATAAAAAAATGGTCATCAAAGTATTAGTGAAACTATTTCTTCCAAAAAAGAGTTTGTCTCAAATCCAATTATTAGGAGAGACATCGGGCAGAAAAAAATTTCGACGAGAAAAAAATTTTAGATCACTGCTTATATACCAATCAAGTGGCATCTCAACTGCGAGAAACAGTGATGTTCGCCTTCCCTTTGCGGCGTTGAGTGAACTAAAGTCCAGAGCTGAGCCATCAGCGCAGCGCGGGAACATTTGAAAAATTTGATTTTATTAGATATTTTTTTTTATTTATTTATTAATTTATTTACACTTGTCTTAGCACATAATCATCGTGCCTACAAGAGGAATAACGCTATAAAAGTATATATATATACATGTATAAAAAGGAGCTAGTATAAAGCATAACACTAAAACATTACACTAAGAAATATTAAGAAATATTTACGCGCGCAATCATAATCCCACGAAAAACATAGACAAAACGCTTTATTAGAGTTCGATCGTCACTCGAAAAAAATTTTAGCCAACATTCCACTGACAGATCCGACAAATTTTTTAATCCCATGTATGCGAGTAAAGGTTCGTAAAGATGACTGCAGGAAGGACACTTAATTAAAATATGAAATAAATCCTCATCTTCCTGAAAACAAGAAGCACAGTCTGCATCGAGGTGTAATGTAAACTTTTTGTTATCAAATAAAATTCTGGGGGTGTGACGATTTAACAATCTGATTTGAGCAAAAATTTTTTTAATAAATAAGGGCAGAGACATCATTAAATAAGTTTGAGTATTAGAGCTTAGTGAGAGATGAGGATATAAAATTAAACTCCTTGACTGTAAGAGGCATTCCTCATCTCTTTTTCTTAAGAAAAGATCAAAAGTCTCGAGAGCAGACTCCCCCCAGGAGCAGAGTGTTTCAAGGGAAACCTCGCGCCAAGAGTTTATTAACCCGCAAGGTTCAAAAAACGAATTTTTTAACTGTACTAGCCAGTTCAATTTGTTATTAGGTTGAGCATTAGCTAATTTCAAGAGTCTTTCAAGACATTGCCTGGGGTACCGTGAACTATCCATTTCAAAAAAAATTTTTTTTAACCAGGACAAAATGTTCTTAAAGACAAATAACGCAGTGTGCTTCGCGCCCGTTTCCAATCTGACGGCATAATTTGGAGTACAAATAGGAAGGCCCAGTAACCTCTTAAAAAAGGATAATTGAACCCTCTCTAACCACTCCAAAAATTTTAGGGCCCATATTTGACAACTGTACCGTAGAATGCTTTGAACTATACTATCAAGGAGTCTAGTGATCGATGCCCACGAGCTAACTCCCGCGGAGTAGACCACCCTCAAGACTGAACCTGCCGCTGTATTCGCGGCGCTTACGGCTCTCTTTGCTGCCAGAGAAAAAGAACAGGAGTTGTGAAAAAGGACACCCAGATACATATATTCTTTAACTACCTCGATGCAGCCGTCCCCATATTTAAAAGAAGTAAAATGTTTAGCTTTAGAATTAGCAGAGTTAGTAAAAATAACGATCTTCGTCTTATCCGTGCTAACCGTAAGGTTATTAAGGGCACAATATGAAGATAGCGCATCCAGTTTTCTCCGAAGCTCTGTTGGCGTATCCGCAAGCAAAACATAGTCATCGGCATACCCAAGAAGCATAATTTCATTCTTGCTGTTTATTGATAAACCTCTACAGCCCCTTTTAATAAAATAATTATCCAGATCCGAGATAAAAAGCAGGAAAAGATAAGGACTTAAAACCTCGCCCTGCAGTACACCCTGAGAAACCTTGACTCTGTCAGTAAGACCGTCGTAAGTTTTGATAGTAGTAAACGCAACAAAATAGAAATTAATTAAAATATTAATAATCTTGGAGCTAAGCCCTAGCGATCGCAGCTTGTGCCAAAGGAGTTTATGACAAACAGATGGGAAGGCCCCCTTCAGGTCAATAAAAGCGGCATAGACCACCTTACCCGGTGTACTCAGATGAATCTGTATAATTGCAGAAAGATTAAACAAGTTATCTAAACAACTTCTGTTTTTTCTAAAACCCGCTTGTGATTCTGGTATCAGATCCAATTCCGTAGCCCATTTAACAAGACGGTCGCAAATGACCTGAGTTGAAACTTTAGCAATACAGTTCATGAGTGTTATAGGCCTATAATTATTCGGATCTTTAATATCCCCCTTTTTATAAAGCATGGAAGTTGTTAAATTTCCCCATTCCTTTGGGACTTTTTCCGTGTCCAAAATTTTGTTAAAAAGATGATTCAAAAATAAAACCCAATTCTGTGGTAAATTCTTTAAAAAATCATAATTTATATCATCCATTCCGGGGGCCTTACCATTTTTACATTTATTTAAACAGCCGATGATCTCCTCGGTCGTAATGCTTTCGTCCAATAAAGGGACAGACAATTTACAAAAATAAAAATCAGTTGTGGGGGAAACACTTTGTTCAGGGTAGCAATTCAAAAGAAAAGTATGCCATGTATTAATATCTATTCCGCACGGTTGTTTACCCTTACGACGGAAAACATTGACAGCCTTCCAAAAGTCAGAAGAGTTCTTACACTTATTCACTGCTTCAGTTCTAGCCAGATGGTACATTTTTTCTTTTAACTTAATAACTTTTTTAAATATTTTCTTTTCGGTGTAGTAAGTCTTTTTAGATAAAAATGAGAACGACTGACTTCTGAAAAGCCGCAATGCATCCGAGAGACGCTGCTTAGCCTATCTACACTCAAGATCCCACCAAGGTTTACGCCCTATAAATTGATTATAATTGTAACAATGTTTAACCATTTGCAATTCAGTGGCAACCTGTTTTATTGTTGAAATAAAAAGAGAGTTAAGCTTATCGACATCCTTTTCTAAATCTGCTACTTCGTCCCTCCATGCCATCTCTGTGGCAAACGAGAATATCTTTTCTTTATCAAAACAAAATTTGGTAAAACTATTATCAGTATTATAATTAACATTAAAAGAAAGTTGCAAAAAAATAGGAAAATGATCCGACAGCGTAGAAAGGTAACACACTTTCAAATCCTGAACCGCGTGAAGCGCTCCAGATGAGCACCAGACAAGGTCAATCGTACTTGCCCCTAATGAGTTCAAAAAGGTAAAGTTTGCTGGGCAATCATTTAAAGAGCGTCCGTTTAATAAGATTAAATCATTAGATTCCATAAGGTTGATAATCTCTTTGCCTCTAACATTTAAAAAATTGTCAATTGAACGTCGTATATTAAAAACAGAATTAGTAAATTTAAAAATCTCTGGATCAAGCTGATTTAATTCCGCGACTCTATCGTTAAAATCACCACCGACAAACAAAGGGAAATCAGAAAAATCAATAAATATTTTATTAATGGTAGTGTTAAAATCATCAGAAAACTTGTCAAAGTCCTCATCCAGAGCGACGTAAACCAAGCCTACAATAAACTGAGAATGATCTGAGAAAGAAATAAATTTTACAAAAATCATACAATGACTGATAGATATAATCGTACAAGAAAACAATTTAATATTATACGCTAACAGAAGTCCTCCCATGGCTCTGCCGTAGACATGCGCTCTTCTTGCTGGGGAGAGAACACATTTGAAGATACTGCTGTTGAAATGTTGTAGAATTTCGGACTCCGACCAAGTTTCACACTCGCATACAATATCATGGCTGCTTACGTCTTCCTTCAGATCTATCACATTGCGAATGCCGTGGGCATTCCAGAACACGACTCTCGGTTGACATTAGTGGTGGGAGACAGGAGGCCCAATGGTAGACCTGCGCGCCGACCCTCTTGAGACACTAACCTCCCGCTATTGGGGGTCAGCTAAGGAAAGTTTCCTCGAAGCAGTCAATCGTTTGGTGGGAGGCGGGGCAGGGTTCTGTATCGGAGTGTTTGGTATGAGAAAATCGTCTAAGGTACCATTGCCAAAATTGTTCAACTGAAGCTTCTCTGAATTCCTGGGTCTACCCCTGGATCTAAGAACCATTGGGTTAGGAGGGGGACGCACATTGGTAGGGGGAGTAGTCTCCGCATTCGAATTATACTGGCGATGCTGGTTTCCCATAGGAAGCCCCCCGCGAAATTGGCAGGAAGACATGGTGTCACTCACGATGTTGGTACCAGAAGAATTCTCGTAGATTATTTTGTTACCGACAATTCTTGCTTTTATCCCCTTCGCTTGTAGCTCCTTGATCTTGGACAGCAGTAAACGGCGATGCTCCCTTTCCTCTTTAGAGCGATCATTGGTAATAATGATATTTCTCTCTTTAAGTTCCCTCACTTTTGTGAAAACGAGTTTCACTCAACGCCGCAAAGGGAGGGCGA